TCTCATGAATGTGAATCTTGAAATTTTACAAATCTAAATTCTTACATATCTAAAATTTTGTGAATTAAATTCTTGTGAAACTAAAATTTTGAGAATCAAATTTCAATGAATTCTTGCGAAGCAGAAAGGTTTTTATGAATCTGAACCTTTGAATTTCAAACTCAAACTGTGAAACTCTGAGTTTCCATTAGATATGATTTATGGCTCTTTTGGACATGGTTGTCGAAGAGCTTGTTATTTTTCAAAAGTTGTTGTGCCTTTGCTTAGAGGAGCCTTTTATTTTTCAAAGTCATTGAACCTCTGTTTAGATGGGCCTTTTATTTTTCAAAGTCGTTGAGCTTCTGTTTAGAGGACCCATTTATTTTTCAAAAGTTGTTGCTTAGAGGAGCCTTTTATTTTTCAAAAGTCGTTAAGCCTCTATTTAGATGGGCTTTTTATTTTTTAAAGTTGTTAAGCTTTTATTTAAAGGAGACTTTTATTTTTCAAATGTCGTTGAGCCTCTGTTTAGAAAAGCCTTTTATTTTTCCAAAGTCGTTGAACCTTTACTTAAATGAGCCTTTTATTTTTCAAAGTCGTTGAGCCTCTTATTAGAGGAGCCATATTTATTTTTTCAAAGTTGTGAGCCTCTGTTTAAGGGAGTTTTGTGTCATTCAATAAGTTTGAGTGTCTAATTTAAAAACAAAAAACAAAAAATAAAAAAACAAAAAAAAAGAATTTGTTAGGATGATCATAAGTAGGGTGTTTACATCTTTGCACAATTCCTATTGCACAGGAAATGTGCAATGAGAGGTAGTTGTAGACATCCTAACTAGTCCAAACCCAAGCCCATTAGCCTAGTTTTAATAGGGTCTGGGCTTAAGCCCATTAGGCTTGGCTCAATAGGGTCCAAAACGTTAGGCCCAACTGTTTTTTATTTTTTATTTATTTATGGGTTTTATTTTATTTTATTTTTATTTTTATTTTTATGTTTATCTGTGATTTTTATTATTTTTTTATTTTATTTTATTTTTCTTTTTTTTCATTTTTTAGTTGATTTATCTTTAGCATTTTTTAAGATAACAATGGGATAATAGCTTTAAAAAAAAGGAAAAAATGGAAATTCTATCGTGTATAGGCATTGGCATAATTACAATTGGTTTTAATTTCTCCAGGATAAATCTTAGGTTTTTTGATAATATGAAAACCCAATCGAAAGGGGACTCCTAATCGATCAGAAACTTTTTTGATCACAACCTATAAATACCACACAAATCAAAGGTAGAGGACACACAAAATACAAAAATCAAGGTGATCACACAAAAAAAATGACAGAAAGAAGAAAGGTTAGCAAAAATTAGAAAGAATTTTGAAGATTTTTAGAAAAATCTAGAAAATTCCTAGATTCTAGTGAAATTTTTAATTCCGATTAATTTTTCAACGTCAGTTGAATTTTTCAGTGAACTTTTCAGTGCTGGTTGAATTTTTTGACAAATTTTTCAGAATCCGATGGAAGATTCCTGTATTGGTTGAATTTTTCGATAAACTTTCGATGAACCAACCTAGATTTTGATGAGATTTTTAGAATCCGGTGAAAGATTCAACCAGAGTTCATTCAGGTTAGAGAGAAGAGAAAGAAAGAGAAGAAAGAGGGGGAAGGAGAAATCTGAGCAGAAAGCTAGAATTTGGCCTTTTATATCCTCCTTAAAACAATGTCATTTTGGCGTTAAACTACCCTCAAGATCTTCGTGTTTTTATTCGAGTGACTCGACCCGATCGTAACCTGATCTGTAGACCCGAATCCTAACTAGTCCCTACTGCTGAGTCGAGTCGTGTTGATTTTCCTTGAGCCACATTTCGAGCCACTGTCTGTACCTGCAACCTAGTTGATCTCTAGTCACTCCGCCAAGCCAAGCTGAATTTTTGGTATTTTTAGTATTTTTATATGATTAAAAAAAAGAGGGAAAAAAATAAAATATAAAATATTTTTTGAAAATAAATAATAATTATCTAATGATGAAATTTTTAAAAATTTCAAATGGTAAATTTTTATAAAATTTTTATGTGAGAAATTTTGTCTAAATTTTGTCTAAATTTGTCTCAAATTGTGAAATAATTTAAATAAAATTTTAATAACAATAATTAATATTTATTTTCAAACAAAAAAATAAAACAATAACAAAAACCTTTTTTTGGTTAAAAATATTTGACCATTTTTCAGTGATGAGATTCTTAAAAATTTTAAATAGTAAATTTTTTAAAAAAATCTCTAGGTGAGAAATTTCTTTAAATTTGTCCCAAATGGTGAAAGAATTTAAATGAAATTTCAATAAAAAAATAATTGTCATATTATTTTCTTTTCAAGAAATAAAAATTTTTTAAATTGAACTAAATGGTGAAAAATTTTAAAATAAAAAAATTATAAATAGGCCCAAATGGTAGAGAATTTAGAAATTCAAAAGATAAAATATTTTTAATTTGACCCAAATTGTGAAATAATTAGATATATTTTTAATAAAAAATAAAAAATAACATAAATGATTAAACTTTTTTTCAACGATGGATCTTCTTCAAGGGAACAAATGGGATCTTTGAATATTTTTGAGGTAAGAAAATATTTTTAAGAGTTTACCAGATTGATGAAGAGTTTTAAGAATTATTTTCAATATTTTAACATAAAAATTTGAAACAATTAGAATTAAGACATAGGATAGATTTAAAATGGTACCATCCTTCGGATGGTTATGTGAAGGTGCTTATAACTTTCTCCATATGTAATCGAACTTTCGAACTCTATTTTAGTTAGTAGACTCGAACCTATTCTTTTAGGGACTTTTAGTCAAGCTTAGAAGTTTTTTAAGATGATAAATTTCTTAAGTGACCAATCATACCTAATTAAAAAAGATTAACGATGACCCCATTTGTTAAGTCTAATTATAGATTTACGAATCCATATATATTATGATACCAACCTCAATAACTTCTATCAATAGCCATTTTTTGATAATGTATTGACTAACAACAATTTAAGAATAATATTTGTACATAATAAAGATATCATATTTACAATTTATTTATAACTTCCTTTGCAAAACATATTTATTTCATGAATTTTATTTAAAAAGTAAAGAAAAATAAAACAATCTTGCAGATAAAGAAAATCTTAATATATATATATATATAATTAATGCATAATATAACATAATGTTTATAATCAATCGGATAAAATATGCATTAACATTGTTTAGGTATGTAAGATTCAATTGTAAATTGTGGATTTCATATATATATATATATATATTTAAAATATATATGATATATATAGTGTTTAAATGTGTGATAAATAGAAATTGATAGATAAACAAAGAAAGACCAGCTAGCTTTTACTCGTAATAATAATGTTTGCCTAATATTTATAAAATAAAAACTTTACTAAATTGGTTTTAAGTATAATATATATATAGCATTTATTCAATAATTAATATATAAAACTGTTTGTCTTTCGTTTCATGATCTAACGATCGTAAAAGTTTAAAAAAAATCATAAAAATTTGATTTTAAACTAAACCTTTCTCTTATATTATGACTTTGTCTCTCTGGAAAAAAAAAATACATGTAACTGTTTTATTTAAATAACAAGTTTGAATTTGAATTTTAAAAAAAATACCAAAAATAATAAAAAGCGAATTTGAGGGACGAATATTCTTCCGTTTGGATGGATCCAGAGCAGTATATAGTTAGTTACATACTGTATAGTGTTAGTATTGTTGCACCTAAAAGCGTGTATGGCGAGTCTGAGTCTTGTTCAAGCTGGCCTGCAACCGAGTGCGACTTTTTTCCATCTGCACGCGTTACTGGCAAACAACAGACACGGCCCCTCCTCTCAGCTTCTTCCCCAAAATCGTATCAAAGGACGGCAAGTAAGATGCAAACGTTCTCTCATGCGCGTCCTTCATACGCCCTCACCTTTTATCAACTAATTTGTTATTCTCCTTTCGGCCCCTTTTCTAGGTTTTTTGGAGGCATTTTAGTGTATTCATGCCCTTTTTGTTTTTGGCATTTTCATTCGATGTCATTTTTCTTCCCTTTCGTCTTTTGTTATTATATAAATAACTTAAATTTATTCTTTTATAGATATTAAAGTATTACATTTTTTCGATGTTGAGAATTTAAATTCATATTTATATGTTATGATACAAAATGAATGTTTAATTTCATCGAAGTTCAAGATTAAAGTTGGCCTAAGTTTGTAAACTCACATTGTATTTGGACAAGTTTGGACACCTATTAAAAAAATCGGACTTGATTAAATAAAAAAAAATAAAAAAATATTACTTTTTCTATCTCATTTTATGTGTTTTTATCTTTTTTGTCAACTAAACAAAATTTTGATCTTTATCTTTTAAAATAATATATTGAATTCAAATTTAAAAAATTTTAAACTTGAATTTGTAAATTTTATTTTTAAATTTCTTTTAATTATTAAATTTTATTGATCAAAATTGAATTAATATAACACAAAAATAATAAAAGACAATTATTTTTTAGATAAAAAAGTAATAATAAATGTGAAATCAAAGATTTTTTTATTTTTTAATAATTTTAACAAAGCAATCCTTAGGAAAACCATCTTTATAAGTTTTTTAAAGAAAATAAATGCGTATAATTTTTTGTTTGTTTTTTTTCTAGACATTAGCCAATTTTGTACTTTACCGTTTTCGAAAACAATATCTTGAACGTGGCAAGCACGAATTCATATAGGCGCGTGGGTTTTAAAGAGGCTTCCTTTCGATTTCCTTTCTTTCTACCACTTTTCTATTAAAGGAGACAAAACTCGGTTCTTATCCACACGCTAGCAATTATTAACTTACCGTTTATCAGAAAACCAAGAAATATTTTCTCTGCAAATAGCAAATCATCACAAGCCGCAAAATCTAATTATTGACAGTGAACAAAAAAATCCTAAAATCTGCAAATTTCCTAAGCAACTCAGTTTTCCAAGATTTAATTTTTTCTCTGACACCATGGGAGGGATCTCGGGTTTTCTTACAAATTTCCCCTCTTTTATCTACTTTTTGTTGTCTCTCCTGGAAAGAATCCCTGTCAAATTGCCTATTTCAATTGAGAAAATAGTTTCTCGTGTTTCTTATCCTCGCACCGGCAGGCACTTGCAGCGCTATGATAACAGAGGCTTCCGATTAGTTGTTGGGTAATATATCTTTTGCATTTTTCCTTTGTTTCTTTATCAAAAAAAAAAAAAAGCCCAAAATTCTATTTCTTTCTTTATTTGGTGTGATTTTATCTAATTCTTTTTTATTTCTGTTTCGAATTTAATGGAATTCTTAGATTGAACTTGGGTCTTTTCCAATAGATGAACACGGCCTTGTATTTTGTTTAATGTTTTACACTCTTGGATGATTTTCATGTTTTATGGGTTATTTTTCGTTATTTACAATTCCCTTTCTGGGTTTTGGCAAAAACATATTTTTAATGGAAAATCATTTTTGACAAGGAAAAAGCCTTGTTTTTTTGAACTAATAATCGAAATTCTAATAATATTTTTTAAAAGAAAAAGTTTCTAATTTAGATCTCTTTTTTGAGCAGGTGCATTCCGTACAGATATAGGAAAATGGAAGAAGCAACTTCAATTGATGAAGCGATTGAAGTTCTTGTAATCAGTGCACAGAATGGTCAAGGAATGTTATTCCCAAAGGGCGGATGGGAAAAAGGTGAAACCATGGAAGACGCAGCCAGACGAGAGACACTTGAGGAAGCCGGTGTCCGTGGCAATATTGAAGTTAGCATCTACCACACATTTTTCGATTCAACTCTTCATTAAATATTTTATTCGTTTCATGATTTTAACTCTGTTTCTTTGTATTTATTTTTGCAGTGTAAATTAGGTACATGGTCGTACAAGAGCAAAAGGCAAAGTATATTCCATGAAGGCCACATGTTTTCTTTGCTTGTCGAGCAAGAGTTGGATTACTGGCCTGAGAAAAACATCCGGGAACGGAAATGGGTACGAATTTTTTGCAAGATGCTAATGTTAATGAATTATACTTAAGAAAAATGCTGAATCTGGAAATCAGTTTTAAGTTTAGTTGGTTTATGCAGTCGCACTTTGTCTGAGTTCATATGTAAGCATTTGCAAATTCTTCTTCTATCTTACGCTGCTGTCTATTTGGTAAATATATATATATATATATATATATAAATTGCTAAATTTGATTACTCATGAATATAATTGTCTATCATTTGATATTTAGTAATTGCCTCAATGCAATTTGTGAGTAATTGGATTGTGCAACCATCGGACAACATAGGCTTTCTTTGATTTAGATTTTGTGAGATTGAATGACCTAAACAGATGTTGTCTTTTTGTCTATGTAGGTGACAGTCTCTAAAGCTAGAGAAGAATGCCCTCATTTTTGGATGAGGGAAGCTTTAGAACAGTTAGTTCGCCGCCATACACAGCCTCGGCCGGAGGAGGGAAGTAAATAAAACTGCTTGCCACTAGAACAACTTTTAGCAAGCATAGTGTTTGTTCTTTGAATTTGTGAGATTAGAATGGTAGATCAATGTAAAGAAGAGACATCAGAATTCAACCTTGGAAGAGAGGAGGAATGTTGGAGATTAATCTAGTGATTTGGAATTATTCCAAGTGCTTGTTACGCCATTTTGGATTCTGAGTTCTGGTGCCACAGGCAGTAGAATGGATTCGAAAAAACATACCAAAATGTGTTGAAAATCTCAGATGTACAAAATCAATTTTTTTTGTTCTATTCAGTATGTAGAAAATTTTGGTTCATTCTTTCAGTTAATTCGATCTTTCAATTCAGTAGGTTTCTCGTTTGAATCAATGCAATCAGCTTGCAGCTAACCGTGCCAAGGATTTGTTATTTAGCTTTTAACATTACTTCTAATGGTCTTGAGAAATTGGAAATGAATCATTGTTCATAGATGGCAAATTGTTTATAAGTCGAAAGAACTCAAGACTGCAACTGGAATAAGTTTGCTTTTACTGATTGATTTGAAACGAGCTAGACAATGACTACAACTGGAAAGGTTACAAAGCAATCAAATTACATGTCGACTTATTCTAATTATCTCCTGCGGCCTCCGATTTTCGTCGAAGATGACGTCCGCTATTTGAAATGCTCTTTAATAAGACAAAACTTAAGATAAAACACTCTATTATTATTATGGGGTTGGCAGACAAGGAAATTTGGCTCCCGATTACGAAGATGAACATTTGGTTTCAGATTAGACTAGGGGTCTCATTTGGTTTAAGTTTAGACAAGGGTCTTATTTGGTTTCAGACAGAGGTCACCTGAAAGATAGGCGGATCCATTAAGCGAGATAGAGTGTCCACAGACATGTCAAAGTCTGAATTGGTTTTAGTTCAGACAAGGATCACCTGAAAGATGAGGTCACCTTAAAGATGGGTGAATGCTGATATTATCCCGAGGAATTATAGGCTGATCCATTAAGTGAGATGGAGTATTCACAGACATCATAAAGTTTGAAAAACAAAAAATTTGAAAGAATATTTTTTTCTACACCTAAAATTTTTCTCTGAATATCTTTTTCATCGACAGAATTGATAAATTTATCCACAATTTTTGATTAAATGATTGTTTAATTACATATTTTGAAGAATATATTTGATAATATTAATAATAATATAATTATATCTTTTGTTCCAGATATGCAAACTTCTAGTGAACCATTGTAAGAATATAACAATATGTTATTTTAAATTTTTATTCATATCTTTTCAGATATATTATAAACAGACACCTAAATATTTTATTTATTTTTTTGAATCCAAATAACCCTAGCTATGAAGAAGCTGATAGCCTCATTTGCCAAGTGAAAGTCGCTAGCTAGTGGCGTTCTTTTCGAATGCAGAACTCGATACACCTACATAATTAGATTGGACCTCGATCTTTGCCTAAAATTTAGGATTTGTATCCGAAACATCTAGTGTGAAACTTTGTTGAGCCACATGTCATTGCATTAGGACTTAGGATCGAGCCACTAGGATGACAATTTATCACTTATTCATGATTCAGCCTAGTAGCCTAATATTGTTCATTGTCTAAAGTTCATTATTGATTGTTGGCATTGCGGTTAGTTGAATGTCTTTATCTTTTCCTTTACATCGTTTTTTATTTTTTAGTTTTTTTTTAAATATTTTTCACTTTTTTATTAAGTAAATTTCACTTATGATCCCTAAATTATTGGTTACATATCATTTTAATTCTATAGTTTAAAAATAACATGTTAGTCTTTATATTTCTAATGTCGTAACAATATAATCCTCTATCAATGTTTTCGTTCGATCAATCATTAAATGCCTACAACGAACATTTATTGGCTAATCTATGTGTCAACTAATTTGTTAAAAAAGTATGTAGAATTTTTTTGTTTTTTTGTTTTTTATTTTCACTCTTATTTATCTCTTTATCTCTTTTTTCCTTTCTTTTTCTTTTTTTTTTTCGTTTTTCGTTTTTCTCTTTCTTCTTCTCTTCTTCCATTCCCTCACCAAAGGGACAAAGGCCTGCTAAAATCGACAAGGGCTGAATCTGGCCTAGCTGACTACATGACAATCTGCTAGAGCCATATCGGCCCATGCGCGGCCAATCCAGCAAAGGATAAAAGATTGAGCTAGAAACCTGACCTGTGCCCTCCTTGCCGGATCAATATCGACGGGGATCGATTTGGCTCTAGTAGATCATAATCACGTTAGTTGGGTTAGATTCGACTCTTACTAGTGCCGATTATTTCATACGTATGATATTGATTTTCTAAAGTTGAATACACTTCACTCTACACAGTTGTGTTCCTTTGTTTAAATTAGCATTAGTTTTTGTTTATTAGTCTATATTATAGCAACACAAATAAGACTCTTTAGTTCTTTTTTAAAATATTTGATAAAATATGCGTTATTATTTGTAAAAATTAGGATTATAATTTTTAATCAAATTATTAAAATTGATTAGGGTCACAACAGATGGGCTTTGGCTACACTTTTTACTTAGTGTTGTGCTAAGGTTTGAGGTTCGAAATCTTTAGATTAGGTCAGACTAGGGAAAAATTTTAAACCATTGATATCTTATCCAGACTAGGCTCAAGTTTAACCCAATCCCACCCATGGATAGATTTACCACTAAACAAATTCTAAATTTATTTCTTTCTCTTTTAAAAATCTCAAGACCTTTTTTTTCATTTTTTCCTCACTCTCATCTCATCACTACCATCTTTCTTTTTCCATCCATATCATTATAGTAGTTTTCCTCTTTCAATGAACTCTTTCCATGGTAAATATTTCTTATTATAGTTGATGTTGTAAAATTCTTTTGGATTTGTTATAATTGTTTTATGATTATTAATTTTAAATTTAAATAATGGAGTTATAATTTTATTTTTAAGTATGTTAAAATAAAATTATTAATAGAACTAGTTTATGCTTTTAAAAAATTTAAACAAGTTAATATTTTAATAATATTTGAATGGGTTTGTCACGTTAAATCATGTTGTTTTGTATAAATTTTAATTAGATCTATTTAATAAACATGTTAATCATATTGTATCATGTAAGACATGTAATAAGGATATTTGTGTATGTGTTTATGACATTGATCAGTTTATATTTACTCATACAACTATTAATATTCTACCTAAACTAAACACGACACAATTATGATATATGTAATTAAGCATGCAATCAAAGCATAAATGCAATGAAAATTTAAAATTTTAATTCCCTATTAGAAGGATCAAACCATTGATTTTGTTTTGTTTAGAACTAAGCATTAAACTAAAAGATTAAAAAAAAAATTCTACCTTGAAACCTTGATAGATGAACTAAGCAAAAAATAAAAATAAAAATAAAAAAACTTCAAGTTAGGTTGAAGACACTTAATTTTGTCTAAGGCATAATTCAATTAAAATTTGTCATTTTGCTGAAATAAGTCTCGGGTTTGTCTTGGATGGTATTTCATGGTCTGAATTCCATTTTCATGCAAAACTAACTCTTTTTTCTAAATGTTACAGTTAATTCTTGATGAATTAACTGATTTTTTCAATGTGATGTTGAACCTAAGGTTGAAATTTTTTGAAGAAAGAAGTTTTATAAGTCTTATCTTTTTTTATGATTTACATTTAAAAAATTTCATCATCTGTAAAAATATGATTTTCTTTTATTACATCTAGGAGAGAGGTCATCCATTGTGTTTCAATAGTAGAAAATGTCAATTTGTTATCTTCAACAAAATTTGTAGAAAACTTTAACATAAAAATATACTCAGCTTTAGTGTCAGAATTTGAATCTGAATCTATTTCAGAAATTAATTCATAAATAATTTCTTCATCAGATAGTTCATCACCAACACAAATTACTAATTCTCGTTCTTCGAGAGTTTTAATAACCTTTGTAGCACTTTTACCCTTATTAGGACATTGTGGTGCTACATGACCTTCTTCTTTACAAATAAAACATTTACATTTTGATTTGACTTTTTGTTAGAAGTTTTTCTTCTAACAACAAACTTTTTACCCTTAGTAATCTTGTGTTTTGGTTTCAACTCGACCATTTTACAACGTATTTATTTTTTAGGTTTTTTGTATATGTTTTGGTTTGTTTATTACAACCAAATTCAAATTCATGCTCTAAAATCCTAATGCATTATTTATCAATAAGTTTACTTTTAACTTGTTTAGTAGCCTTTTGTTTAAGACAATACTTAACAACTTGTTTTTGAGCAAAATAAACTCTATTTCCTAATGTATCAACATAAACCAAGTTATTCCTAGGTGATTTACGTAACTCTAGATAAGTAGGATAATTTTTTAAACATAATTCATCCCATGGTAAGGGAAATTTATGAAAATATTGTTTTTTCCAAAATGCTAAATGTGCTTCATCCAATTTTTTATATTCACTAATATATTTTTTAGAATATTCTTTCAAATTTTGAATATTATAAAGTTTTATTTTTGATAGGATAAATTAAGCTTCACTATTAAGATCAATTTCATCCATTCTACTATAAAACTCATTTTTGAGTATTTGGGTTAAACTTTTTAAAATATCTGGAATAGTATTTAGCTGATTGAGTATCACTTTTTGGGTTTTCCCTAATTTAAATTTTTTCTATTTTCTTAAAAGCTATAAAACATAACCTTACCATGCTCTATAGAAATAATTCAAAAAATATTTTTGACTATGTATCTTTATAACCAATTACAACAATGGACATAAACTGTACCCAATCTTCTATGGTTTTTTCATATTCAAAAATAGGTACTTTGATATATCTAGATATGTACTACCAAATGCTACATTTCTCTTGTTTAGAGAATCAACAGTTATTGAACTTTGAGAACTTTTTCCAACTTGCTTTGTATTTGTTTGTTTTATAGTAATCAAAATCTAAGACTTCTAAACCATAAATTTAGTGGTTCTTCACTAAAATTTTCTTGTAAAATTTTAAATAACCAATATGTTTCATTGATTGATTTAATTTCAACTTTATTCATTTCATGCTAAAAACTTGAATCACAAATATGATTGTGATTTTTGACTAATGGTATTTCTATAGATTCTTTATCTATAGTAAGATTAAACAAAAAGGCAAATAATTGTATAAAAAATTATTTTCTAATAACATATCACCATGCATAAAAAGAAAACAAAAATTTTAAAATTATGAACTTTTTGTTCATAAGATATATGGAAACATTTTTTGCTTTAAAACCTATGATAGTTTCTTTACCATCTATACCTATGACTGCTAAGGGATGTTTTATGGGTCCCCATTTGTTTAATAGTAACGCATTACTTCTACAGCTGGATATAGTAGCTTCTGTATCAATTAAAACATTTAAAGAGTATGGTTTATACTTTTTAAAGCAAAATTTTGCATTAATATAAGTATAGTACTTTTTTAGCTGATTATTAAAAAAAGTAATAACTTTATCATATCAAATTTTGTATTGAGTGATGATAGCTAAACTTCTAATATCCACTCTTCTAAAGCTTCTAGAGGAAACTGAGTTAAGAATTGAGTTTACTGAGTTATAAATAGAGTTTTTTAGATTAGTATTATCATTTAGAAATATAAGAATATTGATTTTTTTTGTATCAATAGAACCTAGTTGTGATCTATGTGAACTAAAAGATTGTTCACTCGCAATACTTTCAATATCATCTTCTTTGTTAGAATATAATGGTATTGAAGAAGATGAAGTTAGTACTAGATTTTTACTAAAACTACTATTATCTAGATTTTTGAAATATAGCTTATTTCCTTATGCAAAAAATTTTAAAGAATTGACTCTACTATTTATAGGTTTTTTTTCAGTAGCATTTTCTAAGAGCCAATCTGTAGGAACTAATAATTCTCTTAGATTCATTAATCTTGGTTTGATTTCTGAATCATAAGATCTTGGCTAAAAAAATTTTATAATTTTTGAATCAATTTCTTTAATAGTAGTAGTAGCATGATTAGTCAATTCATAAATTAC